AAAAAAAAAAAAAAAGATATTCATTAACTGTGGTGGGTTAACGGTCAACCTAAGTGGGAAGATCCAGCTGACTCAGCATGGTTCTGGGCTATGGCATAAACAGAGAACAAGAGGGGAAGACTGAATGCTGCTGATTTCCCAGGAGAAACTTTGTTATGGCTGGTTTTCCAGATAGGAACTTGCCTGTTCAGGCCCGTGCTGTCCCCAGGGATGGCTGCTGTTCTCTTCCAGGGAGTTCTGCCCTTTGCCGTTGTCTTGAGTGACACAGATCCTTCAGCCTTCTGGCACAGACTCTTTACCCTCTAGCACCAGCCCTTGGGCTTTCCCCCACAGACCATTCAGTCTTTGTCATGGATTCCCTTCAGTCTCCTGATACATACTTGCATGAGACACTGCCATGGGCTCTAGGCCTCTGGCTAGACTCCTGAAGGACACTGCCCTGGGATCCAGGTTGGCTGGATTCTTCAGGTCTCTCACTCAATGAGAGATCTCTTTCACTCTTCTGCATTTGACGTTTTCGTGAATATTATAAGATAATCGTATAAATTTATGTGTTCTGTATTAAATCTATTCCCGTGCAAATCCTGACTATAACATTAACCAATTTCTTACTTTAGTCTCAATCCAGTCAATGGAAAAATAGCTGTAAGTCTACATTCTTAGAAAGACTATATTCAACTAAACACTGGATTTATGAATCCACTACAAGCCTGTTTTAACTCTTTTAATTTAAATCATGCCATGAATTCACAACAGGATAACAAATGACTGAAGTGTGAAGCTACAATTTTTTTTGCGGGGGGTACCGGAGATCAAACTTGGGACCTCGCACTTGCGCAGCAGGAGCCAGAACCACTGAGCTAAATCCCTGCCCATGAAGCTACATTTTTAAGAAAGCCATCATGAAATGTGCCTGGTTCCCACTAATTAACAAGTCTGACACCGGTTTTCCTTGGACGCAAACTATTAAAAGATAAAAATAAGTATTTAGAAAAAAAATGTAATTGCAATGATTTGCTCTCCAAATAGAATGACCCATTATAACAGCCCAAACCATGAACTAATAACTACAACTGTCTGCCTGTAAGTAAAGGATGGGCAAAGACAGACTTGTTTTAGATGCTTAAAAGGCTGCGGCTTGAAGACTCTGGCTTTTAATAGAAATCTCTTTCCATGGGCTTGTCCACATGTGGATCTTAATGTATCCCATGACTTTCTTGTCCAAATAATTGGTACTTGATTGTTTCATGTTTTTTGAATTCACAATTATAGAAAAGTGAATAGGTACTCTCCCAGGCCTACTTTCTTTTTCCCTCATAAAGATATGTGGAAGCTAGATATTGAATTTTAATAGGAAAATATGACAAATTTGAAAATAGCCACATTTAAAAGATTTAGATAACAAAAAAGTCCAACTTTTCTCCTCAACTCACATATAATACAGTTATTTTTAAATTACAAATACAAATTAACTGTATCTTTTCAAAATTTAAGTTCTCTTTTACTTTTGATTAAATTACAGAATTATAAATTCAGCATTCTGGAATGTACAATGAGATATAATTCAGGCAAAATCATCATGAAACTTAAAGGGTGATTTTCTTAATTGAGAAATTTAGTATTTCTCACGCATCAACCCACTGTTCCTACTTAACTGCACTAATAGTATCAATATGTGCCCAATGTAACGTGAGGTCCCACCACTATATATGAAGTACTCTTGCCATAAACTTTGAACCTAAACTGAATCATATCTCCAGATCAAACTTCCAGTTTACAGAAAATGCAAAAAACACGACAATAAGTTAAATGTCACTATATGGAAAACCTAGGAAAATCCTGGCCTGTTCTCTTCCGGGTATCAATATCATGATAAATATAGGAGATAATTTTAGATTAATTCCAGATTAAGATGGACTAAGAACACCTAACAGCCAAATGCAACTTGTGAAACTTGGCTGGATCTTGGTTCCACAAGAAAAAGATCCTAAGGAAATCATCAGGAAGATTTTAGCATGCTAAAGAAGTGAAGGTGAACTATCATAATGTCTATAACCAACTGCCAATATCCCAGGAAACAAAATAATAAATAGAAATGTATTTGCATATAAATATAAACACACATACATAGGCAGACTCAGATAAGCTAAAATATAATCTGCTGCTAGCTCATGTGTAATCAGCATCTCAGCCTTTCAACTCTTCTATATGCTTGAAAAAATTCAAAATAAAAAGTTGTTAAACTTTTTGTTAAACGTTTACCGTTTACAGTACCTGGTTCCTGAATGACATCCACCTTCCCCACACTGATCTGAAGAGTTTCACCATTCTTTGCAAAGGTCTCCCATTCAGAATCAGTCTGCTGGCACGATGGACACCACGGGGCATAACTATGAGGGACAAGAGTAACTCATCAGCACAAACATGGGAGAAAAAAATAGAGAAAAAGAGTATTTAAATTAAAAAGTAATTTTTTCACTAAAGGCAATTATAAAAGAAAGTTTTCCCAGTCATTTAATAGAAACATAGAAGTAGGATTTAATATATGAATGTGCACTCTATGGGGAAGAAAAAAAAACAGCTGAAGTTTAACAACAGTTTTAGTAAGTACTATCACATGTGATATATTTTTTAGTGTTACGCTTACAACTGAATCACATTCTGTCACTTTCTAAATAGCTTTGGATTTCTAAGGGTAAATAATGTTTTGAGTGCCCCACTACAGGAGGGCAATTCTCACAAAGATGCCCTTATAGTAGCCAAATCAGTTTCAGATCTATCAGTGCTACAGATCTGAGGGCAGACACCAAAAGATCTGTTTCTACTGGGTCCTCAAGCACGTTCAAATGTCTGAGTATCTGTGGCAGTTCTGAGCCATTCCAAAAAAGAAAGCAGATGCTACAAGCTAAATCAGCTCCACTCGACACTTTTTTAAGTAAAAGAGGTAAAAATACCTAGGACTTCAACACAAAACCCTGCTTTTTATATTTATTTTTCATTCAATAAATATTAAGTACCATGAAACTGAGTTAACAACAGTGAATGGGAAAGACTTGGTTCCAGAGAGGAAGTTAGACAAGCAGAGGGGTGAATGCAATTCAAGTTAAAAATGCTGACAGTGTGGAATCATGCTGTGGTGACACCAAGGAGTTGGGGTATCTCAGAAAGGCACAGCAAGAATCAGCTATGTCTAAGGTCTAAAGTTAGAATAATAGCCAGCAAAGGACTAAGGACTGCCCTCACCTAAGCAGGACAAACAGTATGTGTGAAGGTTCAGAGTACAAGAGGGGAGAGTGAAGACATCACTCACAGCCCTTCAAAAGTTGTGTAAGGACTTTATTTGAGGACCCATGATAAGCTCTAAAGTGATAAGAGAATTGTGGTCAGACTTACATTTTTTTAAAAATCTAAAGTGGGAGCTCTGTGGATAGCCAATCAGGCAAGAGAACTACACAATCAAAGAGAAGAACGAGGATAGGTAGTCAGTCTGGCAATATGTTAGTGGCCTCACCTTGCCATCCCATGTTCTAGAAAATTTCATTAAAGACACATATTATAAAGTTCTGATCTTTTCTCAGGGTTTAATCTACAGATATTAAAATGGGAATACAGAGAAGTCTCCTGCTGGGGAAGTATAGTGGATTGATATTCCCTAAAAAGATAGGCTCAAGTACTAGCCATGATACTTATCAATATGACTATGTGGAGGATAGGGTCTTTGCATAGATAATTAAAGGATCTTGGGAGGAAACCATCCTGATTTAAGATGGACCCTAAATCCAAAATCAGTTCCTCCAAAGAGACAGCTCTGACACAAACGGGGGGAAAAGCCATTTGAAGATAGAGCCCACTGGGGTCATACAGCTTCAAGCCAGGGACACCAAGAGATGCCAGCAGCCAACAGAAGTCAGGTACAGAACAGACACTCTCATGCACAGTCCAGAAGGCACCAGCCCTGCCACAAGTTGAACTTGAACCTTGGAGCTCCCAGAACCATGAGTTAAAATTTATTTAAAGCTACTCTGTGGTAATTGTTACAGTAGCCCAAGGAAACTAATACAGAAAGGAAGACACCATATGAAATTAGAAAGTAGATCAGATAAGTCTTACAGTGACTTAAGAAAGCTGACAGGGATATGCTTAATATAAAATATTTTTTAAAAAATTTTACTTTATTGGTACATTTTAGGTATACAATATAATGGACAGTCATCATTGGAAATTTGCACCTTTACATAATCTCTCTTGGTTATTTTTCCTCCCTCCTCTGCCCTCCCTGCTTAATATAAAATATTGTGAACAAACAATATCATATGCTGGAAATCCATTTCAAAATATGAACATGGTACAATTAAAAGGAAATTCAACATCTGCAGAATAATGTCACAAGAATGTATTGGTACAATCAGAGAAACATTTGGTTTTGCTTAATAATACCCAGAAGGTAAAAGCAATAAATAAAATCAATTAATCAATGCCCACAAAATAAAATAGGATACTCCAGGGGAAAAAAAAAGTCATCAAGCAACTCTGAATAGTAAAGATGCCACAAAGATTAGACATATTTTTAAAACTTCTTAAACTGAACTTTAAAAAAATCTTTAACACAAGTCAAAATATTGAGGAAATGAGTGACAGACATAAAAGACTTAGTATCACTAAACTGATGGCATACAATGAGTGAATGTTACATAAATTACAACATGAAAGAGTAGAGGGCAGATATACAGATGAAACAAGTTTGGCAATATATTGATAACTGCTGAACCTGGGTGATGGTTAGTAAGGGTTCACTATATGCCTTCTATTTTTACATCTATTTAAAAGTTTCCAAAATATATTTTTAAAGGTTTGATTAAATAAAGAGATATATCAATATGTGGATGAGAAGGTTGAACACTGTAAAAATGTCAATTCCCCTCAATGTATTTCTGTCATTCCTCAATTGTTTCTAAAAAAGTGATCCCTATTACTTCTACATTAATGAGGAAAAGCGTGTGGAAGAATGAGGCAGGAAAGAATGCCTGGCAAAAAAACAAAACACACAGGCACCCACATATCATGCTTTAAAAAGCGAACAGAATAATCAAGTCCACGTCTGTAATCTCAGCACTTTGGAAGCTGAGGCAGGAGGATCAGAAGTTCAAGGACAGCCTGAACTACACAGCGAGATCTTGTTTCAAAACAACCAAAGAAAAATTGAAGAGAGGAAAATAGTAAACTGATCAAATTCTATAGCAAGGTTTAGACTCAAAGGGGATGTCAGATTATCATTTTCAAGTTCTTTTAAGATCTTGAATTGTGCAATAGCATGGATATAAGTAACATCCAAAAAAAAAAAAATTCAATGCAGTGATACATATAACTAACTTGGCTGAATAACAACAGAAAAAAAACACAAATATTTTAAATCAGGCAAGATTTTGAACTTTCACATTATAAAGAGATGGGATAAGGATGTAAAAACCCAAGACTAAAGGAAAAGATGGATTTATTTTAGGAAAAGTACTGACAATTAGGGAGAACACAGAAGAGAAAGGGCTGCCCAAAGCCAAAGCGTGTATTTTTCTCTGTAGCCCAGCCCCAGAAGCAGAATGATTTGTCAAGACTCAGATGTTAAACCTCTCTAACTCCACCTCTAGAAAAGACTATCATAGCCAATATCAAGGTCATTCTAAAATTAGGTTAAATCTTCCCATTAGAGTTCACTGTCCGTGCCCTGAGATCAGAGAACAATTTAATGACATATTTGAATGTTGATTTTGAATCTGCATATTTCATGGCAAAATACATTTCTAATACACAGTAGGAGTTCCATAAATGCATGCGGAATAAATACACAAACTGTAGGGAAAATTATATACTTTATCAAGAAATGTATCTCATCTTTTCTACATATTTTCTAAATCTCCAAATCATAGATGAAATTTAAGCAGTTTGCAAACATCAGAAAAAGAACATTAAATTATTCAGTACATTTAGGCATTTCAGGATAACAAAATAATCCTTCTTTGACTTAAGAACCTTCATGGGGAGTTAGCATCACTATAGTTCTGCAGCTGTAAGCCACATCTTTTCTATTTCAACTTTTGCAGATGATGGTGATATATAAAATTAGTAACGTTTACAAAGACATTTGAAATACATTCTGGATAGCTAAAATGTTGTTATATTAGACCAACTTAGATATCAGTCTAATATTTTTAACCATTTCTGGGAAATCAAATCCAACAGAAAGCTTCTGTTACCCGCATTAGATTCATGTACAAAGTACAGTGAGGTTCCACTAGCAAGGTGTTTGAAGAACTCTGATTCTTCTTTAAATTCACCAATAATGTACAATATTATCCCCTTCTCTCTTGGCTTTAACCTCACAAGCTTTTCCTAATAATTGTGACTTTTTCTTATTCTTGAAGAAATGAGATGGAAAAATAACCATCTATTTTACTTAGAATTTACTTTGACCAAAACACTCATCAGAACCTGTGAAAATGAAAAGGAAAGATGAATATGAGGTTCACTTTTCTAGGACTTAATAAATGAACTAAATCAAAATATCAACAAATATACTACATTAATTTTCTCCTTTCTGAAAGGTCTGGAAACACTTCTATATGATCCAAGAATTGAAAGCTTATGCTCAAATGTATTTATTTTCTTTTTTAAAAAAAAACTATTTCAATGTAATACAAGTAGATATTAATAAAGAAAATATTTTTTAAATTGTCTTACTTCTATGAAAAAGTAAAGTAAACTTTCATAACAAATTAATTAACAAGTAACATTAGTTAATACAGTGTAACATAATAAAAAAGAATGGCCAAAATGTTAGAGTACAAGTCATAGACAAAAAAGACTCTTACAAAAGGAAACAGACAGCAGCACAAACTTTCTTTTCAATGAACTAAGAGGACCTAGCGGTATAAATGAAACAAATTAGCACATATATTGAAGTATTTTTGAAACCACAGAATATATAATTTGGTGAATTATTAGAACTCCTTACTTTCTACTTCTCTTTTTTTCATGTTTTAACATTTAATAGAAACTATGTACAATACCTTTTTCTGTATTTTACATAAGATAGCCACCACAGGAATTTACATAGATTAGAAGGAAGATATAGGGTTAAGGAGGGCCCAGTCCTGTGGGGCATTTTCTGAGAGCATGAAAGTCAGAGTTCAGTTGGGGAAAAGGATTCAGACTGCCAGATTAAGCGGATGTTAAAAAAAGCTAAGATGCAGGCCTTTGAGTAGACAACCAGGTGCTAGGACCAACAATATTTCAAAGGTGCCATTCTTAAACATAGCCCCCATCTAGTCATCTATGTGGATTCTTACCTGTGACTTAGGAAATACCATTCCAAAGATATCTTTCTCATTAGGCAAAGTCTCAAACATTCATTCAATCCCAGACATTGGAAGACCTCTCCTCCTTGACCAGAATAAGAAGAAACCCACAACTTTTGGACACTATTGACCCAATCTCCCAATTTTAGTCCTTATTTCCACTTTTGATTTCTAACACCAGAGAAACAACTTTCTTCAGAAAATAATTTTTAGAACATTTTATCACAAACTATAGAGGAAAAATAAAAATTCACAGCTGTACAAAAATTATGACACTTTCTAGAAAGAGAATAATTCATTGCTTTCCCCAGCATAAGCACTCCCTGAAGTTGGACTGCTTTCCTCTGTGAAAACAATCTGAAATCAAATACTTCTATGTTAGCTTAGGAGATTCCCCTTCTGTATATGTTTAAATATCCATAAAAATACCTTGCACAATGGTTTTCAGTTAGAAGCACTTGGAAGTGTGCATAGGAGATGGGCACTATAATTTTTTGATGTCACATGGACTGAGAATACTAATAGAATGTAATGGGCAGGGACTAAGAATACTAAAGGTTCACAACACACGGCCATGGACATACATCAAACAGCTGTACAATCTAAAATACCAATAGTGCCCTAACAAAAACCACTGATAAAAGTCTAACACAGAGGAAGTGTTCAGTAAATTTTGGCTAAACAAATGAATGATACTTGTACTATTTAGTCCCTGCAGGGCACAGTGACTGCCAGTCCTTTCAGATTTGCAACCCATTTGTCTTCTCCAATTTCTCAACCCTGAACCCGATATATAATAAGCATTTTGTGACTATCTCTTAATTCAATCAAACAATCAATACAATCTATTAAACTGAAAGAAAGCATAACTATTTGACATGGGCAAGTTAAGGTCCAAGTTCAACACATTCCATAAAAAAGATCCTGGAAAGATAATACCAAAATCAAGGGGTCCTAGGGAAGTAAATGAAGCCTTGCTCCCTCACCAGATATCTCATCTCAATTCTGAAACATGAGAAGCCCAAGAACAAAGAAAAAGTAATGCTTTATAGGTATCGATCTGCTTTATAGAAAAAAAATTAACTCAAAGATATAGTTTTTCTCTAGATATTAGTGTAAAGGTAAATTAAGCAACTTGGATGTCTACTTACTTCTTTTGGAAGAAAAAAAGCCATCAAAACAGTACAAAGACTGTTTTCATATTGTCTACTTTGTGTCTCCAATGAACAAAAGTAGTATTCGCAAAGACTGATACAATGAGAGCTAAGCAAGTATTTAAAATAGCAAAAAGTTGCAAAGCAATGGAATAAAGGACAGTATCAAACAATGGAAAAAGATAAAGAAAGCACCTGAAGAAAAATTTTTTAATTACAGCAAGCCAATTACGGTGATATGGTAGAAATGAGTAAATACAAAACAATATATAAAAACAAACGAGAAAAACAGTATAAAATAAGCACATAACATTAAAGAAAATATAAAAAGTAGTGGAATAATTTAGCAGATTTGTAAAAAGGTTTGGAAATAAAAACAGTGAATTACTGCAAATATATTTTATATGTATATTTTTATGTATTTAACTGATACTTCTCTTTAATACAGAAGTGCTTTTTCAAATTGAAAATTGAATGGCAAGGAACTCAAAACTTGACTCTGAAATACAATGAAATTTAAACAAATTAAATTTTGTAATCAGAGCTTTCCATATCTCAATGCAGTCAAACACTGCTATCTTGTTAAACTATCCATACCAATAAAACTATTAATTTCATTACAAGGGCTTTGTACAAATGAGATATAAAAGAACAGATTCCTAGAAGAAAGACAACACATAAGTAAATGGACAAAGAAATGTCATCCAAAGTGATAGCAGATTTTCACTACTATCAGAATGTTTTCTAACTCGCTTCTTTAGAGAAGTTAAATAAGACATCGGCAAACTCCTGATAATCTTCCAAGGGTAAGACTGGTTTACCTGAACAAAGTGTTGACATGGGAAGTAGTATAAACACATTTTGTTTTTCTGTTATATACGTCGAAAAAAATATTTAAACTATTAGAAAAGTATAGTAGGACTACAGTGGTACTGAGAATATTCATTTTTTTAATGTTGCATGTTTTGCGAAGGGAAGAATGTAGCATCTAACGATACAAAAAAAAAAAACAGGCAAGAGACAAAAGAATTCCTACAAAAGTAATACCTTTGTAGGGAGGTTCTCCTATACAGAAAGAAGATGGATGTACTGGTTAAGGCCTCTCCTTTGCAGCCTTACACCTATGCACTCATTCTGAAGTGGAAAGGGAACTATAAAAATGATCTCTGGTGTCTACATAGCTTACTTCTCCTTGTATCACAGCCCAAGCATATGCCATACAACTGGACATACAGCAAGTTTATAGCAACTGATTGTTACATCTAGCCCTGTACCTTTATGAAAAGGCAACAACTAAACCATCAAAATAGCCAAACATAGGAGATGTTGCCTCTCACTCATCAGGACTTATTGGGCTCACACTCTTCACAGCTTCAGTATTCTTAGTTCTTTAACTTTAAAAAATAAAAAGAAAAGGAAAAGCAATTTCCAAAAGTACCATAAAGGATTTGATGTCATTAAATATTAAGAAGACCTTTCTGCTCTGTCATTACATACATATACAAACTCAGCTTCTATTAATGTGTTTGCAGTATATGATGTTTACATCACTTACAGAATAAGTACATGTACTTAATATATCTCAATTCTTTTTAATCTCCTCTCCTCCCCCTTCCCACATTTTCATTATTTTTAGTTCATGATAAACTCAGTTCTAACCAGAAACTTGATGTCTACAAAAACTACACTGTGTAAGGATCTACTGAATAAAAGGACTTTGTGTAGCATTACCTGATAAAATACAGTTTTCCTAAAGTTCTTACAATTTATTACCAATACAGCAGCCCTGGTACAAAGCTTCACTTACTTTAAGTCTCCCTCATAAATGGAATATGACTTCCTCATTTCCATCCAAAGTAGCTAAGTGGTTTATTTTACTACATTGTATTTATGGCTTTAATAGTTTCACTGATTTATTATAACCAGGGTATTTCACGTAGAAGTCTAAATATTCCCGTCTTTGTAACCAAAAGCTAAATGCATGTTTGAAGAAATAATATGCAGCATGTTTTTTTTTTTAATTTTGTTTTTTTGTTTTTTTTTTTTTTTGGTACCGGGGATCGAACTCAGGTCCTTGCGCTTGCGCAGCTGGCGACGAAACCACTGAGCTAAATGCCCGGCCCTGCATCATGGTTTTTGAGCAATACAATGTTATGTTCTGGTCTGATCTTACAATCAGGTTTCACTCTTTAGGCATCTTGCAATATGAATAGAGTCAAAATTTAGTTGTGGATAGACACAATTTTGAGAATGTCAATGCAAAATTATAAAGCTGAAATCACAGGTCACAAACGTGTGACCTCAGCAATTATTTTTACAGACTTAATTCATTTTCCCTACAAGGCCATCATGGTATCTAAATCCTATGCAAACACTGTTTCCTGTCAACTTCAAATCTTCTTTCAAATGATCACTTCCTAAGTTAATTTTCAACAACAATCAACAAATTTCTTACTTTCTTCTAAAAAAGAAAAAATAGTTCACCCTTCCTTCACAAAAAGGCACTAATCATTATTTACCGTCTGTTGTTCAAAAGGGGCAATTTGTTAATGACGTTTTCTTTATGACACTAGCACAAACTACACCCACCTATAAGGCCTACCTCTAAAAATTTTAACACACATAAGCATTATTCGTGATCTTGTTTTAAAAATTAAAAGGCACTCGTTTTATTTTCACAAGTACATCTCAAGGTCTTTAAAAAGACTACGGTATTTTGTACAAGTCGTTTATTCACTCCGGAGGCACCTTACCCAGCCTGTGCTCCCTATGCATATTGTAAATGTTACTGAATGACTGCCTTCTCCTGCAGGCGCACACCTCTACCTAAAGAGCACAGGGTTTCTTTATGGATTGCCATCTCTCCTCCGTCCTCCCTGTGAAAAATTGCCTGCTCCATCCCTAAAGCGCTCTTCCTAAAGCAAAGCGGTGAGCGAGGTGCAGGATGCTCTCCCTCCGCAGCGGGCCAAGCACGCATGCGCAGTTCCAGGCCGCCGCAGGTCTCCGATTTGGGCGGGCCCCAGGCCCCGTCTAGGACGGCGGTGAGGCGAGTGGGTTGGACGGGCACACTCACAATTTCAGCATCCACTCGCCCTCCATCACCAACGTCCAGTTGGAAGCGGTCATGGGCTGTACCCGGCTCGGCTCCGCCGGCACCAGGGCCTGCTCAGGGCCCTCGGCAACGGCCAACGCCGCGACCCAGGCGATCAGGAGCGCAGTCCACAGCGGGCCGCAGCGCCCGCCCGCCATGTTGCTGAGCGTGGGCGACGCTCCTCCGCAGGCTGAGGGCCCAGGGACACGGGGCCGCCGCCTCGCTCGCCGGCCCGCCCGCCTGACCTGCCTTCTGAGGCGGTTTGAGGAGATGGCGGGGCGCCCCGCCTCTGGCAGCGCCGGGCAGCTCACGGAAACCGTGCTCGGGAGGAGGGAGGGCGGGCAGCTGGCACCGCCTCTTATCGGCAGCGACCCGTGAGGCCACACCCCCTTGCGCCGCGTGTTGCCCGGGGTGTCGGTTGCCACGGCAACGGCTGCCTTTTCTGCTGATGGCCAAGCTGAAAATAAACAGATGAGCCAATGGTTTTTTGTGTTTTTTTTAAATTAATTTTATTGGTACATTTTATTGGTATACTTTAGGTATACAATTAGTTTACATTTATCATTGGGTGTTTGTACCTGTACATGATCTATCTTGGTTCTTATTTTTTCCCCCATTACCTGTGTGCCCTTCACCCCCCCCCCACCCTTCCCTATTTACATAGATTCCATTTCCGTTTTTTTCCTTCTTTTCTCATAGTTTTTCCTTTCCCTCTTTTCCTTTCCCCTTCCCCTCCCTTCGAGCCAATGTTTAAATTAGAGCGTGTTCTGGGGGCGCTCAGGCCAGAAAAAGGGGTGTGTTATGAAGCGTGTCCCCTTCGCCAAAGAGAAGAGATGTGGCCAGTAATTTAAAAATCTGTCCCCTCTTCAGTGGTGTTAGAAAATGACTCCGTCGACTGCGGAGTAGAAGTGTAGTTAATGAAAAACGGAGAAACCTGTTGAGCTCGGTGAAAGAGAGAGGAAGATGTCAGTGAGCTCCTGATGTGTACCTCAAAGAAAGCCACCTAATCGGTCATAATGATGAAACTAGGTCATACGATTGTTATTTGCTTAAAATGAGGCAGTTAATAATATCATTACCAACTGGAATAAAATGGACCTCATGTTTCAGCTAGTTTTGTCGGATCTAAAATGAATGTAGCTTTAAATGGTTTCCATATCTCTTTCCACATGAATATTAGATAAATCTGTGCCTTGGGACCACCGCACCTTGAATGTACTAGAAGACTGATTACAATTAGAGAGTGAGTGAGCTTTTTTAACGTGTACTTTATAAACATGTATTAATTAGATGCGCAGAGCTTGAAACTCAGTTGTGTGGTTAATATATCCTGAAAAATATGTAGTTTCTGGCCTGGGTTTAAAACAGACAGCTTTACAACTGAGAATACTAAGGACATACGAGGTCAATTGCCAATCAGTAAGATAGGGAAGACTGATTCTACTTGAACAGATCTTGCTTGAATTAGCTGTTAATTAGTATTAGATAAAACCTATGTAGACCTAGCTCTTACCATCAAAATATAACAGTGAAGAATTTACAAACTATTGGAAATTAGAAAAATGTTACTGAATGTCACTAAGACTGTTATGGTTATACATCAATCTACAAAGTCAATGGAAAGCACTTTACTGCGCTTATAAAAAGAAATCAAAAACAGGAAATCTGTCATTCTTTTCAGGGCAGCTTTTTTTGTATAGGATATGTGATGAGTAAAACAAATAACATTTGCTATTAGTAATTTACTACCAATTTTTTTGAATATAATAAAGATATTACAACCACATTTTTAGTCTTTATTTGTTACATAAGATATTATGGATGAAATAATATGTTTAGAATTTGCTTAAACTGCTCCAGAAATAAAATATGGAGAGTGGAAGGAAAATGGATGAAACAAGAGTGAAACAAAGGTGTGATGGTTGATTGATTGTGTCAACTTAAGTAAATAACTCCCAACTACATTGGCTCAGCATAGTTCTGAGTATGGAAGACTCACCTTAGGGAGGATTATCTCCACAATATAAAAGGGAAACAAGGAAGGAAGAATTGCTTGTTTCCTTCAGAGGAGCTCCTGTCTTTGCTTTCACCTTGGATGTCGTCTCCTGGCTTTCAGCACCAACTCTTCAGCCTCCAGCATGGACCCTTCAGCCTTCAGGTGCCCAGCATTCAGCCTCTGATAGGGACTTGCACAGGACACTACACAGAGCTCCAGGCCTTCCACTGGATCCTTTAATCCCCAGGGTGCAGACAAACCTTTTGCACTCTTCCACGCCTGATTCTGTGGGTGGCCATCATAAGCCAATCTATAAATTGTTATATATTTGTGTATCTTGTATTATAGCTGTTCCTCTAGTAAACACTGATACAAAGGGTCAGTATTAAAGCTAAATTCATTTTCCTATCTTACCTACTTTTGTATGTGTTGGAACACTTCAAAATGAGGAAAAGAGAGAGAAAGCCTCTTAGACACAAAAGAAACTCATCACTGAAGCAGCGTCTCTAATACAAATTGTGTGTTCAAGGATTGCACGTCTTGGCCTTGAGGCAGAGAACAGCAGAAGATGATAGGAAACAATTCAGCAAGCATGTGTGAGAAATACTTTGCGGTAGGAACAGTGAAAGGCACAGAACAGAGAAAAGGAGCAGTTGTCAAACCTTGATATCATCTTGGTCCTGACAGTGTTGGGTCATGTGATCTGGGGCTAAAGCCAGTTTCTACCAAGCGTCTGCTTAAATGTAGGAAACACCAGGACCTGCTCCAAAAGACGGCAGTGAAGGTGATACAAGTATAATGCCAAGTGCATGGTATTACTCCAAGAAAGTTATTATTTGGAGGCAACAAAATCCTATGAGGCTTGTACAGAACTGTTTTCCCTAAAGCCATATTCACTTAGCATAACACACAATGTTTTTCACAATCCAGCTTCACTTCCACCCACTCTGCCCTCTGCCATTCCCACAATTCCCTATGATCCAGTAGCACAAAGCTACTCCCATTCCTCAGGCACACTATGTACTTTTATGCCTCCTTGCTTCTTCATTCTGTTTATAATAGTTACCTAGTGAGTCATTATGCAGCCTCTGTCATGTAGCTCACATTGTGCCTCCAATTGCCCATGCAGAGTAAGCAACTGTGTCTTCTTTGGTCCAATAGCTCCTCTGTATAACTCTACCACACCCCTTTCATATTTAACATAATTAACTTAGAGATCACCCTCTCTCCTCAGTTCTCCAACCCTTACTAGAAATTCTTTAAGGTTACGGTCTTTATCTTATATATCTTTGTGTCCCCTGAATGGCAAATACCCACCAAATAGCAATACTTAGGGTAGGCAGCTTCTGGCATGGTCTCCAAGATCCCCATCTGCTGATGCTCGGGACCTTTTGTGATAATTTCCTTTTAAGTGTGGGCTGGGTCCAGTGACTCACTTCTAGCTAATAGAATATGATAAAAGTGATGGAGTATTCTATAATAAGCTTACAAAAAACCTAGGATTTCCAGCTTTCTGGAAACTCCCTTCTTGGTTACTCACTTTGAAATTCTGTATGGAGAGATTCAAATGATAAGGAATTGAAGGAGGCCATGAGCCAACATCTTATGAAGATCTGAGGCCTCACTAGTAACCTGCCAAGAACTAAATCTTGGGGAAGACCATGTGAATAGCCTAGAACTGGCTCTTTCTCTTTTTTTTAATTCATTAATTTTATTGGTACATTTTAAGTATACAATATGATGACATTCATTATTGGGAATTTGTACCTTACATAATATATCTTGGTTCTTATTTTTCCCCCATTCTCCTGCCCTCTCTATTTACAAAGACTTTGTTTCCTTTTTTTTCCTTTTCTCATATTTATTCCTTTCCCTTCTTTAATTTCCCTTCCCCTTCCCACTTTCCCTTCCGCTTTGGACCTTTTCTTCCTATTTCACAGTATCTATCATACATTTTGGTCCTTATTTAAACTTTCAGTTTCTCACACCAGAGAAACTATTTGGTATTTACACATGTGTGTCCTATTTATTTCACTTATGAGTATGGCCTCAATGTGCATCCATTTAGCTATGAATGTATCTAGTTCTCATTCTTTATGGCTGAGTAGTACTCCACGTTATATTAAAAAAAATCTTCTTTGTCCAGTCTTCATTTGATGGGCAGTTGGGCTGCTTCCAAGTTTTAGCTATTACAGACTGTGCTGCTATAAACACAGGTGCACATATATCACTGTGGTATGATTCTTTTAATTCTTTTGGGAAATACCCAGCAGGGGAATAGCTGGGTCAAATAGGACCTCTAATCCTAGTTCTTTGAAGTGTCTCCATACTGATTTCCACAGTGGTTACACCAGTCTACACTCCCACCAACAGTGGAGAAGGGTTCCTTTTTTTCCCACAGCAATGGTTATACAATAATGTGGTTCCTGATAGGAAAATAAATTTCTTGCACTTTGGTGAAGTGATATCAAAACAAGAGAGGGAGGAATGTGGTAGATGTATATCCAGTTCCTTCTCTTTCCCAGTCCATGGGAAAGAGAAGGAACTTCTCTTCTATACTCTTATGAAGTTAGGCACACAAGTGTGAATAATTCTGGCCAATGAGCTACAAGCAAAAGGGGTATGAATGTCTCATCCAGGTTGAATGAACCATTGAATCACTGATCCAGGATGCTCTTGTGTTTCCTTCTTCTCCTGCCATGGAAATTATAAAGAAAATTTCATTATCTAGGAGTACGCAAGACCCTAGTAGCCTGAACTGCTGAGCTGCCTCATGGAGAACAGGTGATCTGGATGGCTCCCTGGATTCTCAATGGACTTCACATGGAAACAATATAAGTTTTGATGAAATCCTATTAAAGTTAGCTATTGCTGCATAATCAATCATTCCATAGCTTATCTCTCATGGTTCAGGGGGTTGATAGGCTCAGGGGAGCTTTCTTTTTTCTTACCTTGTGTTCCTTCATCTGGTGACAGATAACCTGGAAGCTAAGGCAAGAATTGAAGGTTTTTGTACTCACATATGCCACCTGATGACTGGGGATTGATCAGATACCTTTCTTAGCTGCCGGAATTCCCATGAGGCTAGCGTGAACTTCCTCAAGCATGGTCTATTTTACTTTCTCCACAGCAAGAGTTCTCAGTGATATAGAAGCTGCACTGCTTCTTAGAACTTCCATTGAGAAGTTTGAAAAGCCAGGTGTGATGGGGCACACCTGTAATACCAGAACCTTGTGAGGCTGAGGCAGAATTGCAAGTTCAAGTATAGCTTAGGCAAATCAGCAATTTAGAGAGACTTGTCTCAAAACAAAATGTTTTTAAAAAGCATGTGAGGTGTGGGGTACGTTTGATCCCCATTACTAGAAAAAAAAAAGTCTCAGT